TATTATCAAAAAAATTTTTATTTAAATATATTAATTTTATAAAAATATAGATCATAGATATTGTTACATAAATTTTCCAGGCAAATTTGCCTGGAATAGCCTACAGATTAAGGGATAGCACTACAAATTAAATCCTCTTTAATATAATTTTATGATATAATCTATTTTTGTAATATATATTTTGTTAATAATAGTAATTGAAAAAAAATAGTAGTATTTTAAACCTACATAACTTAAGAGCCTAATACTTATTATCCAAATAATAAAGAAGAAAAATAAGTTTAATAGCGAATAATTTACTAGCTACATTTTGTGTTTCCTATTCCCAACTAAGATTTTTACTATATAAAAGTGCTAAAAGATCATTGTTGTTGGTTTTGAATTAGGCAAAGCTTTTTTGAATGCTGTATTCATCATTTTATTAAAAAACATTAGATGTAAAAAAAGCAATGCTTAAAGAGGATTTAGAATATTCATTTTGAATAGTAAACTTAAGTGATACATTTTATTCATCTCGTTTAAACTTCTATGTACACCGGACACAACATTGTGGCAATGTATTTGTACCCTTAACCTGAATCTCAACTTTATTAACATTCTCTCCAGAAACATATTCACTATCCGCCTGATAAAATTTTCATCTACTTCAAATAGTGCAGCTGGAAGAATTGTCATCATCTCGTCTTACCATTACAAAAGGAAAAATCATTTTTGTAATATATATGCCAGTAGTATTACAGAAATTGCTAGCGAATTCAAAATTAAGAGACAATAATTATTAATTAACGCAGAATATAGGGGTTTGTCTAAAGCCAGATAGTATTTTATACATATTATCGTATTAAAATTAAGTTAGTAATCAATTTTTATTTCGAAAAAATAATCTGAGGATCAGATAACTATTACAGCCAATAAAAAATGATATTTGGATTCGGCTTTTAGATGATCCCCACATTGGGAACAGTCTCATAAGACCTCGATCTAAAAATAACGGTTTTCCGCGATCTTAAAAAACTTCAGCGACTTCCTATCAAATAGTCGTTATCTTTTTTGTAGGAATTTGAATCATGGAACCTCAAAACACGATCTCGTCAATTTATTCTGCTTTGGAAAACATTCCTCTTATTTTGGCACCACAGTTTTCCGCATTACAACCGGTAATTCTAAGATTTTATTAGACATTGTTATTTAAATCTTAACATGATTTGAATTTTACAGGTAACAATGCCTCATGATTTTACTCTTGATCTACCTCCTGTGGTAAGTAATCGGTAATATATTTGACGATCGGCTTTGTTATCAAAGCCATTTCTTCTCGCTCTACAAGATACGATTTAATTTTATATTAATTCTATTTGACATTTTGACTATTCAGAATAAATATGACTTTAATCTTGAACGTCATATTATCGCTGATTCAGAACGGTTTCGACAAGAAAATGCCACTTTGATGCAAATGCGAGCTCAAAAGCTACAAGCTCTTCAGGATGCACGTATACGTAAACAAAAGGAGGAAGCCAGAAAAATAGCACCTGGATTCTTGGATACGGATCAAAGACTTTTAACACCCATGCCAATGCACACATCGCCCAAACGAATTAGTCATCAAATAGAAAATGGTAATATTGTACTCGCTGGCGGTGAAGTTAACAATGACAATCAAAAAGTGTTACATGGACGTTCCGCGTCGGATGAGTTGCCAAATCATGTTGTAGAACGGATGAAATTGACAGAAGATAATGAAATAGAAGAGGTAAATGATATGAAATCATTGAATTTATATATCATATTAATACATATTACATTATGAATTTATTAAACTTTTAATTCTTTTTATCTTTATTATTTTTATTATTATTTGATAATGTATGATATGATCTGGCGCAGAGTAAACCTGCGAAATCACTTGTTTATCTCGAATTTGAGGAGAGTCTTACTTTACGCGATTCACAGGAATCTCCAAATACAATTCAAAATCAAATATCAACCTTGCCACAAAATTTCATTTCAAATGGGCTTGCCATGTCTTCAACTACTACTACTGGATTGCATGTGGGTCCAGAAACATCATTGGCTCCTAATAATTTTAACAAATTCCATCTTTCACCAAGATTACAGCCAGTAATGACACCACCTGTACAACAACAATCACAAGCATTTACTTTAGGGTCATCATTATCAAATAATAGTAATCCTGAACAATTT